CAAAGTAAGAGCCATTCACAGGGAAAGGCGCCTCCATTTATTTTCTCTGACAATCGCATTTTCCTCTAATTGCTTTTCTTCAATTAGCTGATTAGGGAAATGGGAAGTGGCAGAGATCGAGAGAAAGGGGTTTTATTCTGGGACAGCTCCCGCTGGGGTAATTGCTACAGAGCACAGGTTTGTAAACTCCTCAGTGGCGTTGCTCTGAGAGGTGAGGTACCAGGTGAGAGGCACTGGTATGGGATAGTGGGTAGAGCGTTGGCCTGGGAGTCAGGCGAGCTGAGGTCTATTTCTGGCTCTGCTGCAGACCTGCTGAGGGACCTGAGGCAAGTTCCAACTTCTGTCTCCTCCCACCCTGTGTCTATTTCAGACTGTGAGCTCTCTGGGGCAGGGCCCGGCTTACGGACTGAAATAATCAATTGCATAAATACAAGCTGGGAAATGACGGCAGAGGGAGGAGGGTCTGGCGGTCAACGTGGATCACAAACTAAATATGAGTTAACAATGTAACACTGCTGGAAAAAAAAGCAAACATAATTCTAGGATGTATTAGCAGGTGTTTTGTAAGGAAGAGATGAGAAGTAATTCTTCTTTACTTAGCACTGATAAGGCCTCAGATGGTGTCCTGTGTCCAGTTCTGGGCGCCACCCTTTGGTAAGGATGTGGACAAACTGGAGAAAGTCCAGAGAAGAGCAACACAAATGACTGGTGGTCGAGAAAACATGCCCTACGAGGGAAGATTGAAAAAATTGGGTTTGTTTAGTCTGGAGAAGAGAAGACTGGGGGGACTGGGGGGGGGGGTGTCGGGGATATGGTAACAGTCTTTGAGTACGTAAAAGGATGTTATGAAGAGGAGGATGATAAATGGTTCTCGTTATCCACTGAGGACAGGCCACGAAGCAATGGACTTAAATTGCAGCAAAGGAGGTTTAGGTTGGGCATTAAGAAACATTTCCTAACTGTCCGGGTAACTAAACACTGGGACGAATTCCCTAGGGAGGTTGTGGACTCTCCGGCACCGCAGGTTTTTAAGAACAGGTTAGATACACACCTGTCAGGGATGGGCTAGCTAATATGTAATCCTGCCTCGGGACAGGAAACTAGCAAGGTCCATTCCAGTCCTGCATGTCTATGATTCTGTAATGGGGGGGTTCCCTGATTTCTGATGGCCCCACAACGTGCTGCTGTAATGCAAATAAAAATACTTTGCCCGTGCAAACAGCTCCTTTGCCTTGTCAGCACTGGGATTTGCACTGGTGCAGCTACCCCAGGTGCTGGGCTGTGGCCAGGGTTTTCCCTAGTCGAACAGACAATGGTACGTGAAAGCTCTTAAAACCCCCTCTTGGGGCAGACAGTTGCCAAAGGGGTTTTCTGAAGGCTGTGTCATTCTCTAAGGCTATTTAAGGAGTTTGCAGGCAAAGAGGGCTCTGTGTCTGGGGGGAGAGGGGTAATTGGAGTCTGTGCCTTTAAGGGATGAGCATTTGTGAAGCTCTTGTTACACACAGCCAATTGGAACAAACCGCGTTGTGCAAGGCCCTTGAACGCCAAACCCCACAAAGACACGTGGGCACCTAAGCACACAGTTGGCTCTATGTGCTGCAGTCACACCTGGCTCCAACGGCAGTGTAGACGTACCCCTAGTCTGACATCTCAGTGCTTGTCTGCTCCTCAAAGCGTCGCCCTTGAAGTGCTCACAGGAACGTAAATCCCACCCCAGGGCGCCATGGACAGATTTTCCCCTCCTGGTGGGATGGCTCGCCGCAGCCTGGGGCCAGCCCCGGCGGCAGGAGGGATCCCTGGTTAACTCAGGAACATGGAGCCTTCAAACCAAGGCTTTTGAAGAGAGCCCCACGCTGCTCTGAGAGATTAGCTCCAGGCCTGGTCAGGTCTAATACCAGAGAGGGGAACCGTGGCATTAGAGCTGCAGATCTCCTGCTGCAGGAGAAAGGCAGCTGGGTGTCCCTCAAATCCTGATAGCCGTGCCCCATTGTTTTGGGGCCTGGTGGGGCCTTTAAGCAGAGACAAGAAGCTTGAGCTGAGTGCAAGATTCACACTAGAGCACGTATTTGCGGCCCGTAGCTGCCTGCAGACCAGCCATGAGCAGATCCTAATTTCCGGCCTTTTTCCAGTTCATTCTAAGAAAATCTTCTCCAACTTTTTATTCTCCAGCCTGAGCACTAAGGTCGGTGATTGGGCTGTTAAGTCACATAGTATTAGTTCTGTTCCTTGATTGGATGAAGTTGCAAGCACTTCTAGCACAAATGCTTGCAGATGTAAATTTAAATTCCTGCCTGGGGCTGTCAAATCCTCTTCTGCAGGTAGAACACGCTGCTGGCTGGTGAGGGGCATGATAATCTCTCTGCGCGTTCATTTCATTCATTATTTGCTCAGGTCTTACATCTGCACAGAGTATAAAGCCAGACTGGGCTGTTATGCTCTCATCTGCCCTCCTGTATAACATGGGCTGTAGGGCTTCCCTGCATTAATTCCTGTGTGAACCAGAGCATAGCTTTTAGAAAAACATCCAAGCTTGATTTTAAAGTTGCCAGCGCTGGAGAGAAATGAACTGCACAAGCCCATCTGCAGTCGTGAATGGTGCTAAGATCACACGACACTCAATTCCACCGGAATAAATCCAGAGTAATTCCCAAATCTGTGGAGTAACCCAAATTTACACCAGAGCAAATGAGCAGAATTTGGTCCCTTGTGTTTACAGCTCAGCTAGGGTGTAGGTTGTCTGCACTGTGTAAGCGGTGTGGAGATTGGATTTACAGTGCGCAGTTTTGTGTATAAATTATAGATACCCCTCTGCATAGAGTTTAAGGCCAGATGATCATCCGCTCTGCTCTCCTGCGTAACCCAGGCCAGAGAATTTCATCCAGTATAGGAGTAAAGGGCTTGATTCCCTGCTGCCCTGGGCAGACATTTCCACGAGTGCAAAGTGGGTGCTAGCCACAAGAGATCCTAGGGGAAGCCTTGTGCACTAGTGGAAGTGACAGCACAAGGTGCAGGGCGGCTCAGGACAGGGCCCTGGGTGCTTTGTGATCAGCGCAGTAGGACAGAGCAGCACACGGGAATTGGCAGCTGTCACTCAAGGTGCGGTGTTGGAACAAGCCGGGCCCCCTGCGTGACCTTTGGTTTATCTGCAGAGCAGCGCCACACGGACGCTTATTTTATTTGTGATTTGATTTCAATGCAGCAGTTGAATATCTTCTGAGCAGGCCATTATGGCATGTTACTACAGAGCAAACAGGTAATTAAACCCATAGAGTTTGCTAACAGCTGCTGGGTAATCAGGGATTCTTTGCTAATAAGTGGTCCCTTTTCTTTTTATCCAAACATCACGGACATTTCCTCCGGGCGCTGGGCTGTGTGTGATGGACATGTCCCCACGCTCTGGGCTGCAGCTTCAAAAATTAATTATTCCACTTGAACTAAACTATTTTGATAGTCAGTTGCTCCCAGCTGCTGCCGTGTCCTAGGAACAGCGCTGCCCGGGTCCATCGTGTGGCCAGATACAGAGACGTGACCACGGGGCTGCTCACAGACCTTTCAAAACCCAGCGCTGCAGGTCGGGTGGGACTCAGGCTGTGCTCATGTGCAAGCTAATACCCAGAATGCTCTGCTAGTTCGTGGAGCTGCTGGGTGGGTCTGAGGCATGGGAACACACTAAGAAACCTGGATCTTCTTTCTGGAGACACTGGGTGCAATTTTGCATTGCCCTCCACCTTGTGAAGTCATTTATACCAGCGCACGATGCTCCCATTCTGCTTTGGTAAAACCAAGATCGGGGCCGCATCGCACTGGGCGCTGCACAGACCTTGACTGAGATCAGGGCCCCCCGTTGTGCCAGGTGCTGCACAGACCCTGGCCAAGATCAGGGCCCCCGTTGTGCTGGGCACTGCACAGACCCCGACCATGATCGGGGGCCCCGTTGTGCCAGGTGCTGCACAGACCCTGGCCAAGATCAGGGCCCCCGTTGTGCTGGGCACTGCACAGACCCCAACCATGATCGGGGCCCCGTTGTGCCAGGTGCTGCACAGATCCTGGCTGAAATCAGGGCCCCCCCTTGTGCTGAGCGCTCAGGGTGACCAAGTGTGGGATGGGAAGGGGGGGGGTAATAGGATCCTATATAAGAAAAAGCCTCAAATCTCAGGACTGTCCCTATAAAGTCAGGACATCTGGTCACCCTATAAGCACTGCACAGACCCTGTTCCAAACAGCATTTAGACAAGCCAAACAAAGGGTCAGGGACAGATCCCAGGAGTCCTGAGTCCAGAGCCTTCGCCACTGGCCCTGGCTGCCGCTCTGTAACAGTGAGGTGCAGGGACCATGGGCCATGGGCCATGGGAGGGAGAGAGGTTTCTGAAATCAGGAGTGAGGGAGATGCCTTCTCTCTCCCTGCTGAGGCTGCAGCAGGAGCTCAGTGCCGGCACCCCAGATGGCCAGCAAAGCCACCCGCATGACAGCGCTGGCCAAGATGGCCTCTAGGAATAAAACCAGGGCCTGCCAGAGCTCGGAAGATGAGTCGCTGCAGCCTGAACTGGAGAGCCAGGCTCCCTTGCTGGGGCTGTAGGACTCACCTGTTCTGTGGATTGCACCGTGCACTGAGCTGCATGGCCCCTCCAGCTGAGACGGTGCCACGGGATGCTGTCCTGGGAAGGGGCTTTAAGGCCTGCCGGGGAGAGCGGTCATGCCTGGGAACCTTCCGCTCCTATTTGCCTCTAGTGCAAGTGCTTTGCTGCTGTTGTCGTGCATGGGTAAGCCCTATGGGGGGCCTGGTTTGCACAGAGGGAGGGCACGTATCATGCATTGAGCAAGGCTCGTGAGTGGCTTTTTGCCCCCATGGCGACCCATTTTATCAGCTGATAAATTGGATGGCGCTGCAGCACCTCGGGCTCCCTGCAGCCACTGAAATGTCATTTCCAGGCCGGTGTCTCGGCACCGGGGAGCCAGCACTTGTAACTTCAATCAAGAACCCATCACATTTCGCACCAGCCTCTCTCCCGCAAGAATCAAGCCAGCACTGGGCCCATAACAAGACGAGTGGCTCCGTCAGCCGAGCCTGTTTCTCCACCTCCGGGGCTAAGTGCTTCCTACTGCCCGAGCTCAGCCTCAGAGAGCTGATAAATAACAACCACGGATGAGACGGGGTTTAAAAAACCAGGTGCTGCTGCCCAGACGCCTGGAGCAAAAGGGAAATCTTCATGCCCATGAGACTGGGGGGTGGGGAGAAAAGTGAAATGGATGAGGCACCTGGCTGGCTGCGATTCACTAGATATCATGATGTTTACTGCAGGTTGTCAGCAAGGCTCCAAGTGATGAAATGTGGATAATATTCCAATTTGGTGCCACTTACCCTCATGGTCCGTCTCTCCCCCGGCCCTGGCTCGCTCTGTCTGAATCCGCCGCGGCTTCACAGGCTGCGTCTGAACATAATTATAGGCATTTTACTAGATTAAACGGGGTAATGTTCGCAAAGGGCTTTGAAGATGAAAACTTCTGCACAGGTGCTAATTGGGGGAAGAATTTATTAATTAGCACTTCTCACAGCAGCTTTCCTACCAGATTCTCATCGCATGTTAACTAAGGCATCCTCAAGGATTTTCAGGACACCTAGGTTCTATTCCCAGCTCTGCACTGGCCTGCTGTGACCTTGGGCAAATCACTTCCCCACTCTGTGCCTCAGTTTCCCCTACCAGCCTGTGGCTGTTTGGCCTGTGAACTCTTTGGGGCAAGGAGTGTCTCTCGCTCTGTGTCTGCAGGACCCAGCACGACAGGGCCCTGAGGTTTACCTATCCCCTTACATAGCATCTGTCTCTTATTACTCATTGGTTACAGTAACACCTAGGAGCCCTGGCAGACCCCATTGTGCCAGGCGCTGTACAGACACAGAACAAAAAGTTTATCTCTTGCCCCTATACAGCCATTGGTGACTTTCTCCATATTTATTTCTTCTTCTCTCTCAGGCTCTTGTCTACTGCATTTGGCCAGTTCACATCATTTCCTGAACCTCACAATATTTTGTATACATGCAACATGATGGGGTCGAAACTAGCTGTGACCACTCAAGACAGAGCTCCAGGAGTCACTGTGGATAGTTCTCTGAAAACATCTGCTCAGCGTGCAGCCGCAGTCAAAAACGGGAACAGACTGTTAGGAACCATTGGGAAAGGGATATAAAAAGACAGAAAATATCATAATGCCATTGTATAAATCCATGGTACGCCCACACCTTGAATTCTGCCTGCAATTCTGGGTGCCCCATCTCAAAAAAGATACATTAAAATTGGAAAAGGTGCTGAGAAGGGCAGCAAAAATGATTAGGGAGGTGGAACAGCTTCCGTATGAGGAGAGATTAAAAAGACCAGGACTGATCATTTTAGTCATCTCTTTTCTAAGAGGGGAGAGGATGGAGGTCTATAAAACCAGGAATGGTGTGCAGAAAAAGTGTTATTTACCCCTTCCCATAACACAAGAACCAGAGATCACCCAATGAAATTAACAGGCAGCAGGTTAAAAATGAACATAAGGAAGTAATTCTTCACCCAACGCACAGACAACCTGTGGAACTCATTGCCAGGGGATGTTGTGAAGGTCAAAAGTATAACTGGATTTAAAAAAGCATTAGGTGAGATCATGGAGGATACGTCCATCAATGGCTCTTAGTCAAGGTGGTCAGGGACACAGCCCCAGGCTCTGGGTGTCCTTAAATCTCTGGCTGCCAGAAGTTGGGACTGGACAACAGGGGATGGATCACGATTCCCCGTAGCCCTCAGCCTTCTGCAGACATTCACAGCAGCACCAAGTGGGCATGAAACGCAGCCATCAGCGCTGGTCAAAAAAAAGGAGGGGGTTAGACAAAAACAAAAGTTCTCGCTTCTTGACAATGGTTTTTTTTGTGTGTTTTTTCATCAAAAAGTTAGAAAGGGAAAACTTTCGGGTAAAACTTTTACCAGTACTTGGGGATTATTTGTAAACTGACAACAGGTTTCGGAATCTGATCATTTTCTAGCTGTCAAGCCGGGGCTCTGTAGCGTTGCCCCCTTTGCACTGGGGCGAGCAGCTGCACAGGACGCTGCTAGAGCAACGTGTCCGTGATGCCTCAGGCAGAGACCAAACGCCGCTGGAAAGGAAAGGGGGGGTTTGTGGAACACCAAGAAGCTGAGACTTCTGCCCTCGCCAGCTCAAAATATACGAGCGGCCGTAAAACTGCTCCAGAGTCTCATATGAGTCGACAAACCTTTGCCATGGAAAATCATCCATCAAGTGTGTTTACATGTGAAACTTCAACAGAGGCGTGGCAGCTCCCCACACTCAGGGCAGCCGGGGGGTTATTTATTCCGGGCTGCCTGAAGGAGCAGAGGTAACTCCACTGGCATCAGTGAGGTGCCGGGGGATCTGGTGAGGCAGGAAGTGACATCGATCTGTTAAACGCTCTCAAGGGCTAGAAACAGCCAGGATGTTTGAATGCCTGGAGCTCTGGGCATGGGGCTGACCAGCCCATTTGGTGTCAAAGGTGACGGCCCTGGAATTAGCAACGCTGGAACTGTCTGTGAAATAGCAGCGCCAGGAGATGGGAAAGAATCATGGTCTAGCGGGTGCAGCAGAGGGTCAAAGAAACAGAATGCCTCTCCCAGCTGTGAGAGGGGTGTGGGGTCCAGTGGTTAGAGCAAAGTGGGGCTTGCAGCCAGGACTCCTGGGTTCTCTGCCAGCTCTGGGAGGGCCGTGGGGAAAATGGTACAAACGGCTCCCTGGTTAAAATGTCTGTGCTGCCTCTGCGAGAGGCTCCTACCTTAAACCCAGGGAGTGCTGCGCTGGGGACTGCTTTGGGAGCTGAGACTGGCAGCAGAGCGAGACCGGGACCACATGTCTCTCCTTGCATCTAAATTAACAGCAAGGGGGTAATTTCTCCCCATTTAATTAAGTGATTGGAGGCAGGAGCGGAGCGGAGATTCCCATGCTGGCTGCCCGTAATGTCAAATAAATTAATTGTTAAAATGAGCCTGGGAAATTTCAGGATTTACTTTCACAAGTGTCATAATCTAGAAGATTTAATTGCAAACTCAGCACGTCCTGTGCTCCGGAGCAGAACAGGGTTGGGAAAACTGGCTCTGCCGCTGATGGGAATAAAACCGCCTCAGATGGGATCTGGGACCAGGAGAGCCGGTGAATGGTCAGAGAGGGCAGCAGCTGCTACCGAGAGGCCGTATGGGCTAGTGGGTAGGGCCCTGGATTTAGGAGTCAGGACACCTGGGTGCTAAACTCTGACATGCAACATTTAGCAAGTCACTGCCCCTCTCTCTGTGTCTAGTTCCTCTCCCACTCCTCTATTTGCACTGTGAGCTCTTTGGGGAGGGGCTGTCTCTCACCATGTGTCCCATGCAGCGTCCAGCATGATAGAGGGCCCCCGATCTCAGTGGGGGCCTCCAGGTGCTATTATAATAGGAATAATAATAGTTATGTTCTGGGTCACCACTGAAGCATCCATGCTACCGCTGTTGTTAGTATTACCAATTGATTTCTTCATTTATTTCCCTCCTCAAAATTGTTTTGACCAAGCCACACAGGAAAACAGGAAAAAGAATTCACACTGAAACAATGCCAAGGGCCTTAAGCCAGCAGCCTCGGGCCCAGGAGAAAAACTGAGCAGCAAACGGTTCTCCAGTCCAGGGAACATTTTCAAGATACTGAATTTTTCCTGCCCCAAATTGAGACAAAAAGTCAAAATCTTTAATTTTCAAAAACCGAAAAAATCTGAAAAAAATGTCAGTTTGGGTCAATCAAAACGTTTGGTTTTGTTTCAATTTAAAATGTTTTTACTGTTTCTTTGCTGGGATTAGTAGGAATTTCCAAGTGGAAGTCACGGAGAACCGGAACACAGAATTTGTCGTTTAGAAAAGTTGCAATGTCGGGGGTGGGGAGGGTGAATCAAACATTTTCTGATTTTAAAAATTCTTTTTCTGCGGTTTCAGTTTCAACCAATTGGTGTTTTCTGACACACACACACACATGCCCCCGAAGATTCCTCTCCCGCTGGAGCTGGGGCCTACGCTGGGCCTGTTTGCTGCCAATCCCGGGTTCTGTGCATGGCAACACCTTAGCGCTGCAGCCCACGCCCTGCTCCCAGTGCATCCCTTACCAGGCTGAGTCCCGGTCTGGAGTCGGGCGGATGGGGGCTCATTCTGTTCCCTGTATTCTTTGTGGAAAGCCATCGGCGCCTGATCTGTTGTGTAGCAGAGAAGACAGGTACGAGGGGTCGGAGGACGGGTTCCTTCCAGCGTGTGTTCTGCAGGGGCAGGGGATGAAAATTAGAACACACTCACGAATACGCTCTGCCCAGCTCAGGAGCCACGGACAGGTAAATCAATCAATCCGCGTGTCCCTCTCTCCAGAGCGGAAAGTGCTGGGCACCCTAGAATGTTTGTCATCTGCCTATTTCCAGTTTGCCTGTCTCTGCTGGGAACTGAACCCAGAAGTCCTGACTCCCAGCCCCCACCACCGCCCCTGCTCTAACCACTAGACCTCACTCCCCTCCCAGAGCTCGGGGGGATAGAACCCAGGAATCCTGACTCCCAGCATCCCCTCGCTTTAATCCATTAGGCCCCCTCCCCTCCCAGTGGGAGAGTTTAGCTGGATGCTCCGTTTCTGACTTGCTACTCAGCAGAGAGCCTGAAATAATGGCTCAGAGAGAAGTGAACTCCCCCCACATTCAGCCTATCGGGTGTTCACTCTGAAACATATCAATGACGGTTTAAAACTGCATTCCCAAACTTTTGCCCACCTCTCAGGAAAATGAAACCACTCATGTCCCCCGTCCTCACCCCCCCCATGGGTTATTATAGGTGATAAATACATCTTCCCCGCTCCCTCTCCCCCCACCAGCCAGCCCTACATGCCCTGCCCTGGGGAGCTCACCCCCAAGTTTGGGCAACGCTGCTTTAAATGCTGGCCTTGGCTGTTTCATTCCTGACCCTCCTAGCGAATGGCATGGGAAAAGGGGAGCCTTTGGCAGTGCGGGACTGGAGATGCTACAAGGCAGGAAATACAGAGGAGGGAAAAACTGGGGAGACACAAAGGAGCAAAACAGAGATAGGAAGGTGGGAGACAGAAATAAAGGCCAGCGACGGGGGGAGGGGGGGCTTAAGGGCAGCAGATTCCACAGACCCCCCACATGACTCACCTGCAGAAATAGGGCCCTAAACCAACAGCCGCTAGCTCCATATTCAGATACTCCCCTGTACTTCCATCCAGGCCTCCCCACATCCGTTGGGCTCTGCTACAGCCTGAGGGGAGATCGGCATCCTACCTTCCTGCCCTGCTCCATGGCCTCCGACTATAACTGGAATTCAGCGCTCGGCCCCCGGCTCTGGTACACCACACGTCACGGCGAGAGTCATGGCGCGAGCCCCTCTGACTCGGGCGATGGCAGCAGCTCAGGCTAGATGGTCACGATGGACCCGTCGGGCCTTGAAAACCCCGAACGTGCCCCGCACAGAGTGCGTCCGCTGGACATGGCCGGAGCAGCTATTGGCCGAGGCAGCCCCTTAGTTTCCTCGTGCTGTGGCACAAAGCCAATACAAAGCGTTTCTGGAACGTGGGAACGATCGTCCCCCCGTTCAAAATCCAGCAACCTGCCCATGTGAGTCACCCAGAGCGTGACTGGGCTGCGGGGTGTCTCTGAGCGACAAGACAGGAACCTTTAGGGAGGGACTTCCCAACAGGCCAAGACCTGCCGCCACTCACATCAAAGGGGGGGCGCTCCTAGCCCATTTGAGAATCTGGCCTTTAAAACCTGGACAATGTGGGAGAGAGATTTCCCATGGCTCAGCTCAGCAGTCCTGATGGCAGAGAGCCCATGCCCGTCCTAGCCTCATCCCGTGGGCTCCACAGAGCAGACACTTCTGGCCACGCACAGCCACAGAGAGACAGTGGCAGCAGGAAACGCCTCGCACTCCCAGGCAGGGCTGGTTGGAATATTTTTCATCTAAACTTTTTTATGAAAAGTTTGTGTTTTTTTTCTTGGTTGGTTTGACCAAAACGACCATTTTCATGAAAAATTTCTATTTGGAGTGAAATTTTCCTTTTTCCCCCTTTTTGGATGAAAACACAGAACCTTTCCCGGTTTCGAGGTGTTTGAAAACAACAGTTTGAGGGGGACTCGGCTTCAATGAAAAAAAAAAAAACAACTTTGGGAGGTGGAGGGAATTATCCACAAAGTCCAATGTCATTTTTCGTCCTCCACAGCTGTCCTGCATTACCTTGAGAGCCCATCGGCTGGAGAACTCAGGCCGACCCTATGCGTGGCAGCGTTCTCAGACTGGTGTGGTGCCAGCAGCCGACTCTCTGCTGCTTCTTTCTATAAACTTGCTAAGGGGAAGTTTACTTGCTGCCCTGACTTATCATCCACAGACCGAGTTGAAAAATACCAGGCCGAACCCTGGCGTCCTTCTTCGGGTCTCTGATCGATTGATTTCTCTCTTGACATTTCAATGTTCTCTCACCAAGATTTATCCTGGCGCATATTTAAATCCATCAGCTACAATATATAAGGAGGTTGAGTTATGTCATTGCCCTTAATATCCGCTGCCATCTATTATCTTTTATAGCCCCCTCACATATTACTCAGGGCTGTCTCTAGCCATTACCAGACCTAGGAGGGCTCCCACCCCCTGCCCTCATCCTAGACCAGTAGTTCCCAACTTGTTCCGCCGCTTGTGCAGGGAAAGCCCCTGGCAGGCCTACGCCCCACTCAGACCCCCATACGCACCGGGCCTGGGCCCCGCTCCGACCCCCCCACGCTCCGAGCCTAGGCCCCACTCAGACCCCCCCACGCACTGGGCCTAGGACCCGCTCAGACCCCCCACACACATGCACCGGGCCTAGGCCCCGCTCAGACCCCCACATGCACTGGGCCTAGGCCCTGCTCCGACCTCCACACGCACCAGGCCTAGGCCCCGCTCAGACCCCCCCACGCACCGGGCCTATGTCCCGCTCCGACCCCACATGCACCGGGCCTAGGCCCCGCTCACGACCCCCCACGCACCGGGCCTAGGCCCCGCTCAGACCCCACACGCACCAAGCCCGGGGGCCCCGCTCAGACCCCCCCACGCACCGGGACTATGTCCCGCTCAGACCCCCAAACGCACCGGGCCTGGGCCCCGCTCAGACCCCCCACGCACCGGGACTATGTCCCGCTCAGACCCCCCACGCACCGGGACTATGTCCCGCTCAGACCCCCCCACGCACCGAGCCCGGGGGCCCCGCTCAGACCCCCACACGCACCGGGCCTAGGCCCCGCTCAGACCCCCCCACACGCACCGGGCCTGGGCCCCGCTCAGACCCCCACACGCACACCGGGCCGGGGCCCCGCTCCGACCCCACGAACACCGGGCCTAGGTGCCACGTAAGTCGCACCTCAGCCCCTGGGCTGCCGACCTGCCTTTGATGAAAGCTGTGCGTGTTTGTGAGGATCGGGCCCAGCTCGGCCCCCTTGGGAAGCGGGCGCGGTGTCATCTCTGTATCACACGTGGGGAAAGTGAGGCAGACGGAGGGCAAAGGACTTGCACCCTGCGTGTGGCTGGCAAAGCCAGTAGGAGGAGAAGCCCGTCTCCCTTCCCGCGCCCCCTCCCCAAGCTGTAGATAGAACCCAGGAGTCCTGACACCCAGACACCCCCCACCCCCACCCCCACCCCCCGGCTCAAACCACTAGGCACTGCTGCCCTCCCTGACCCATTGATGTAACCCAAGAGCCGTTCACACCCTCCAAAGGCTGGCTTACGGGAGAGGGGCCGCCTGGGGCAGGACATTCAAACAGAGGGGCAGCCCGGTCAGATATCCCCCCTACCTCCCACCCCACCCCACCCCACCCACACACTCTCCATCATCCTTCGGCAGCTGCTGGGCTCTTTGCAGCCTGCTGTGGGAGAGGCTTCAGCAGCCTTTCGGGTGGCCTCTCCGCATGCACCGCCGTTTAGGAGTGATTCATTCCCCTGCCTGGCCCGGCCAGCAGCTTTGCATTCCCCACACGTCCTTCACCCGGTGTGATGAGCGGCCATAACTCTTTGCCTACAATAACAGTGTCTCTGCTCGGCCTCCGGGGCGTGGCGGTCTCCGACGCGTATAAAGTAAATGTGTCCCCTGTGGTCCTTGGCGCGGCCGAGCTGCGGGCGAGTGGATGGATGGGGCCTTGAGCGGAGTGGCGGGGACGTGACGAATACAGGGCCTCTCCCAGGCTGCTTTGAACTCGGGAACAGGGACTAGGGGCCAAATTCACCCCATTCAGAGGGGCCAGCACGAGGCCTAGGTACAAGGCCTAGCCTCTCCCTACTGCCCTGACTCAGAGGCAGATGGATTTCTCCCCCCACCAGCCCAGTGATCTCCATTCTTGGCGCCATGCCCATGCACTGGACGAGTCACGCATCAGGCGGCGAAACGCCACTCGCGGACGCAGCTTTCCTAGGCCGTAATTCTGATCGATCTCCCTCCATCGCCCCAATGATGAACTACAATATCCTTTTATTATCTCAAGCCTCAGTTCATGAAACTGGTGACATTTCTGTTTATGAGTTATAAATACAATTTATGCCCTAATTACTGCGCGGGAACAGAGCTTCCATCATTTAAACACTTAGCGCAAGAGGGTTTGTAAATCTCATACTACAGCACCCCCGCCCCACATCCCGTCTTGGGGACTTTTAATGTCACATCATCATTAAAAATCCCTCGTTAAAGAGCAGTTCCAAATGCGCTCGGCTCTCACCATCCCAGCCCAAGCTGCCTGGTTCCCAAACGCTCTCCACTTGTAAATCGCAGCAGAGTTTGGATGCGAAGCCGCACGTGGCACATTAAACAGCAGGGGCTGGCTGGTTTTACAACGGCAAAGGATTTATGTGTCTCAGCCACAGCATGGATGTCCCCTCTGGCTGTGAGAAAACCAACACACTCCTGCACGGCTGCCTGTCCTGCCCCCTCGCGGGCCGGCCGTCTGCACAGAACACCTCATTTCTCCCTGGGAATAGTAGAATTGCAGTCAGGGGGCGGGGGCGCTGCTGTCACATATGGCCATGTAGTGCCCCCAGCTTCAGCAGCGTCACGCCGGATTTACACTGGTCTGAGAGCAGCCTGTGAGGCCTGAGTCTGTAGGTACTTAATGTGTAGGTACCCACCAGCCCCGCTTTACCGCCCTCCAATGCATGGGGCTGGGAGTCTGTTTGAAGAGACTAAACTATCTAACTCGTCTGGCCCAGAGGAGCTGCTGGCTTCGCAAACTGGGAGATGCCGTCCCCGAGGGAGTGAGCAGTGTCGGAGCTGACATCCTGTCTCCGCAGACAGGCAGCTGGCTAACCAAGCTGTCGCTGTATTTATAATGCACCCAGAAGCAGGACGCGTGGGTGGCTGGGCACACAACCCTGGATGGTATCTCAGGAGACCCAGCTTCAAATCCCTCCTCTGCAACTACCCTGCTGCGTGACCGAGGGCAGCCACTGTGGGGCAGCTAGTCAGAAGAGCCCCTCTCCCCTTCAGGTACCGAACCATGGGCCCGTTTCTCCAAAAAGCAGCAGCATCCAGCAGGCTGAGACCTCTGGACAATGTGGCCACTTGAAAGGGCACTGCGCTCATTTGAAAATGCGGCTGCCACTCTCTCTCTGGGCCTCAGCTGTGAAAGAGAGACAAGGGTTCTGTCTTGTCAGTTTGGAGGAGCAGAGACTGTCTTGCTCTGTCCCTGCATCGCGCTTTGAAAACGCCTGTAGATGCCACTTGGGCACTCAGGGGCACCGACACCAGCCAGTATTTGCTCCTCCAATTCCTCCATTGTGGCATTGATGCCACCCGGACCCGCCTGTGCTCAGTTTATCTTTAATTGTGTTGAAATCAATAAGCGTTTACCAGGCAGCTCCGGCAACCGTGCGCTAAGAAATTAACTGACATTCCATTAACCTCGACAGTCCGATTAATTCCCCAGCACAGGGCAGGATGTGACACAATTACAGATCGATCGCCGGATTCATTTGATCTCTGTTCCTATGCGGCAGCTTCACTCACAAGAAGAGAGACAAGCCCCCGGGATGTTTGGGACCCGGCTCTGACCAGGGGAATCCTCTGCATTTAAAGAGGGGCATTTTTCTTGAAGTGGAGTGGGCTAGTTACGTGGGTTGCCTCGTTTATGTGATTGTTTATGGTAGGGTCTCTTGCTGTCCATGCTGGGATAGGCTGTTTGGAACAGCTTCAGCGATTCAATAACACTTGAATGCCTAAAACTTTGGCTGAATTTGGCTGGAGATGAGCAGGATGGAGGATGAGAGAGATCATCTCCCCATTGTGACCCCCAGGCATTGGGGCTGGCTGCCCCCCAACACACACATCCCCCTGGCAGGCACCTCCCCAGAGACCTGTGAGGCATAGGGAGACACAGCAGCCACAACCACGGGCACTGAAGGACTAGCCCCCGTCTCCCCAGCCAGCAGAGGGTCCTAAACCTCCAGTGTGAACCCGCCACGAGACAGGGCTACAGACCCAACACCTGCCCAGATCTGGGGATAGAACCCAGGAGTCCTGACTTTTAAGCTCACCAGCTCATCCCCTCTGCATAAAGCATTCTCTCCCCGTCCCCCGCCTTGAGTGATGCTTTGTCCAAAGGACCAGTCTGAATTAATTCCATCGTTCCAGCCCCTGCCAGCCATTTCTGAATCTGCGATCATGCCCTCTTTCATATTGCAAACTCGGAGCCAGGCCAGTAAGCCGCACTGCTCCAGGGGGCCTTGGGTCTGCATGATACCCCAAAACCTTCAGTTCTTCATAAAGCAGGCTATTAACAATGTATGGGCCACTTTCCCCTGTCATTGTAGTAATCAACACATCTGGCTGTTAATCCTGAATTAGGAGGATCTGAAACCCTTAAAGTGATGCAAGGAGAAATAACAAAGCGTTGCAGCTCTTGGAAACAGCCCGCGAGTAGCATGTAGATGGGAGCAGCAGCGGTTGTTGTCTTAAAAGGGACCTTCAAAAACTACAGTCAAGGGAGTGCGTCAGCCCTGGGAGGGTCTGTGAATTCACAGCTTTGAAAGGCCAAAGGAGCAAATTAATTCAGATAACTTTTGGGTAAACAGTGGTGTGGGACAGTCCCTGCTCTATCCACTAGACCCCACTCCCCTCCCAGAGCTGGAACCCAGGAGTCCTGGTTCCCATCCCGCACCCCCCCACACCCCGCTCTAACCCACTAACCTCCCCACTCCCCTCCCAGAGCCGGGGAGAGAACCCAGGAGTCCTGGATCCCAGCTCCCCTGCTCTAACCCACTAGCCCCCACTCCCCTCCCAGAGCTGGGATAGAACCCAGGAGTCCTGGCTCCCAGCCCCCCCCCCTTCCAGTAGACACTGGATTTGCTCCTTATGCTGTGCTCTCTGCCCAATGTCACCAGTGTGAAATGTGGCCCTAGATCTGAGGTGCCTTTTACGACACCCTTTTGCCCTGCCCACCCTGGGGTGCTCTCAGGGCTGGCTCTGGCTTTTTTTGCTGCCCT